CACACACACACACACAGCCCTCTGTAGCATCCTTGGAGCCAGATATCTACCAGCAGACCTACCTGTGGATTCCTTTCCCTGGTATGAAATATCATTCCCCATGAGGCACTTCTCGGTTAGAGTTATGAACCTGAAAGAGGACCAGTAATGCCATTAACTAGCAGAATTACATTTTCTTCTAGATTACAGATCTCCATTTATTGCTTCTGTTAGCGACCAACATGGAGTTGTGTATATCACTGAGAACAAAAACAAAACTGTGGTGATTCCTTGTCTGGGGACCATTTCAAACCTCAATGTGTCACTTTGTGCAGTAAGTTAAATCGTCTTTCATCATCTCTTACGTTTTCTTAATTTTAAGCTAATATAATATTATTATAATACATATTATAATACATACATTACATATTATATTATATAATATTAAGTCAGCAATGTGTTGTAAAGATCCTTTAGAAGGGTCAAAATGACAATAAATAAAACCAACTTGCCTTTTAAAAAATTACATGAATTCTTTAGTGTTCATGGTTTTCGCCTTTGGATAACACTTGATTGAATATTTGATATTTCCTTTTCTACCCAGAGGTATCCAGAAAAGAGGTTTGTTCCTGATGGTAACAGAATTTCCTGGGACAGCAAGAAAGGCTTCACTGTTCCTAGCTACATGATCAGTTATGCTGGCATGGTGTTCTGTGAAGCAAAAATTAATGATGAAAGTTACCAGTCTATTATGTACATAGTTGTGGTTGTAGGTAAGAGGACAGTTCCTTCCCATATCATTAATATCAGACAGTAAAGCCTGGCTTACTGTATTAAGATCCTGGAGGACAAGGGATATTGAAAGATACATTAATTCACGGTTTGGTGTTAGGCAATTCATTACATCTGCTCTTCTCTACCCAAGAAACCTATGTGCAATAGAGTTTTTCCTCCTTTCTTACCAAAACCAAGGATGAAAAAGAGTACTATTATGGGATCATATCTTATGGAAAATTTAATGTTCAGAGCATTGCTTGGCATCAATTTTAATTACACCTATTTTATGAGAAGTTCAGTGACTTCCTAAAGCTGGCCCCATTGATTATCGGCCACTCAGATTTTACAGCTTTTCTGTTCACTGGGCTACAACATCTTTGAGATCCCTTCAGGGCTGCGTTGTAAATCTCTGTAGGCCAGTTTCCTGGGAGTTACCAAGGACTGGGGAGGCCCTCAGGGAAAAATGATGTGACACATTTTGAAGCTGCATCATTTCTGAAAAAAAATGTGTGCCAAGTTATAGATTTGCTTTCCCTCTTACTTTCTGTTTTTCCAATTTACTTGCTCCAGGGTACAGGATTTATGATGTGGTTCTGAGCCCCCCTCATGGAGTTGAGCTGTCTGTTGGAGAAAAGCTTGTCTTAAATTGTACAGCAAGAACTGAGCTGAATGTGGGAATTGACTTCAACTGGGAATACCCTTCTTTGAAGGTAACACTAACAATTCAAAGCCAGATCTCTAAACACTTTGATAATAAGCTCCAACGAAGTTTGCTTGAGACAAATAGGGACCTCTCTGGCCAGATGAAATGTAAGGGCCTTAACTCACAGTAACACATACACACACACACACACTTTAAGACCATTGCAGAACACACCCATGCAAAAAAAGCTGCAAAGCCAAGAACTCTGTCCAGGCTGTGAAGATTAGTTTCCTTTAGGTGATTACATCTTTCCAGGTTGCATTATTTCTCTGTTTTCCAAAGTCCTCGATCTCTTTTCCATTTAAGGGAATTTCTCTTTAAGAGGTGACGTGAAACACACTTCTTAAACATTGGGCACGCTTCCTTGTGTTTCTGTAGTTCATTTTTACCTCATTCCCATTATGTGAGGCTCTAAAATTCCTGGTTCACTTGGTTGCATTTATTTCATCTGAAACCAACTATATTTGCTGTATGCATGATGTCAAGATTTCTGAAGTCCCCTTCATTAGTGTTCAAAAGAGTTCACCAAGGGCCAAGACTTTTGTGGGTATCTAGAAGCTATTGGGTCATGTTATGCTGGACTTTGGAAGTTCAGTAAACTCTTTTTCAGCATCAGCACAAGAAACTTGTAAACCGGGACCTAAAAACCCAGTCTGGGAGTGAGATGAAGAAGTTTTTGAGCACCTTGACAATTGATGGTGTAACCCGGAGTGACCAGGGGTGGTACACCTGTGCAGCTTCCAGTGGCCTCATGACCAAGAAGAACAGCACATTCATCACGGTCCACGGTGAGCTGAGATTTCGTTTGGAATTACCCTGTACCTTGAAAAGTGAGATAATTTAAATACATTTAGGTCAGCTAGCAATTCCTATTTTGCTCATTCAGAAGGTGTTTTTGAGCTCTTGCTAGGAAGGCCGCATGACCTAGAGGTCAAGAGCATAGCTTGGGTTCAAATCCCAAGTTTAATTGATGAGCTGAGCTGATAGAGTAAGTGCTCACTACATATCACTTATTGTCACTGCTATGATTATTATTACTATAATAAGCTGAGGGTTATTAACTAAGATAGTTTTTACATTTTTATTGAATTGCAAGGCAGAGAGGCTTCCTTGAATAAGCCTGAGCTTTGCAATTGGGAAAACCTGTATTTAATTACTTTCTGTGGGGCTTGGAGGAAATAGTTTAATTTCTCATTGGTTCTCACTGACATAAATGTCTCAGTTTAGATGATAATTTGTATGGCACCCGACTTATAGGCCCTGGTAAGGATTTGGATTTTATAATACGGGAATGCGCAAGAAAGTTCTGAGCAGAGAGACATGCTCTGGCTTATGTTTTCATGGAATTACTCTGTGTGTGTTTTTTTTAAAATGTGCAATACTTTAGGGGAGTAAGGTCAGAAGTAGAGACCAGCTAGAAGACTAATTGCACTCATCTAGGTGAGAGATGGTGGGCGGCTTAGACAAGGGTGGTAGAGGTGGAGGAGGTGAGAAGTGATCTGATTCCAGATATATTTTTAAAGATAGAACCAATAGGATCTGCCAATTGATTCCCTGACTGTGGAATGTAAGAGAAAAAGAATGGAAGATGACCTTCGAGTTTATAGCATGAGCAACTGAATGAATGGTAGTTTTGTTAACTGACATAAGGAAGGTAAGGTGGAGAGGAAGATTTGGGGACACAGGGTTAGGCGGCTTCATTTGGAGATGCCCATTAAACATTCAGATAGAGATTTTAATATGTTAACCTGAAACCCAGAGTAGTCAGGGCAGGAGATGTAAATTTGGAGGAATGTACTTGATACTTTAAGCCTGAGATGAAACGAAGGTGTAGATGAAGAGAAGAGGTTTGAGGACTGAGTCCTGGGGCACGTGGGGCGTACAT